AGAGTTGCACCCTCTGAGATCAAAGGGAAAACCCTTGACCCCAAGTTACCACCAGGACGTGGATGTTGGGAGATATTGGTAGTGTTGTGGCTTCTAAGGTATACCTGATTCTTAGTCTTTATTTATTTATTTTTTAAATTTTTTTAAAAGATTTTATTTATTATTTGACAGAGAGAGACATAGTGAGAGAGGGAACACAAGCAGGGGCAGAGGGAGAGGGAGAAGCAGGCTTCCCCGCGGTGCAGGGAGCCCGATGTGGGGCTCGATCCCAGGACCCTGGGATCACGACCTGAGCCAAAGGCAGACACTTAACGACTGAGCCACCCAGGTGCCCCGATTCTTAGTCTTTATTAAGAGAAGTTTCTAGCACACTAGGAACCAACCTCCAAATGCTTTTTTAGTATCTTCCAGCCTGTAGTAATCACTTCTTGATTTTATTTGATCAAGCTATGTAATCATTTAGATTGCATCTATCTATGACATAGCAATTTCACTCCTAGGTACACCTACAGAAATGCATGCAAGTGTGTACCTAAGGCATGTTTAAAGAATGTTTGTACCCATGTTATTTATAAGTAACCCCAAACTGGAAACCTAAATGTCCTTCAATAGAATAGATAAGTAAATTATGATATCTTCATACAATGGAATACTATATTACAATAAAAGTGGGGGGAAAAACGATGGCTACACATAATAGATGCATAAACCTGACCAATGCAATATTGTACAAAGTCAGACACAGTGCATTAAATTTTTTTATTTATGTAAATAAAGCTCAAAGCAAGCAAAACTAATCCATGCTGTTAGAAGTCAAGATAGTTGTTACTTTAGGTAATAGTGACTGCAAAGGGGAAAGAAGAGATAATGATTTATTTATTAATTGCTCTGACTTGTTATTACATAGATGTGTTCACTTTGTGATAATTCATTGAACTATATACCATTTTGTGCAATTCAATAAAAAAGTTAAAAACAAAACAGGATATTTAAAAATAGTTTTGTAAAAATTAAGTCTCCCTTGTATTTTTCACCTTCGTGGGAGAGTTTTAATTGATGAGAGGTAACGGGCAGTGCTCCTCAAACTTCATTGTACATATAATTCACCTGGGCTTCTTGTTAAGAGGCAGATTTGCTCCAGTATTCTGGGGTAGGACCCAAGATCCTTGCATTTTTAGCAAATTCCCAGGTGATGCCCATATTTTGAGTAGCAAGGACCTAGGGCAGTGCTTCCCAAAACATTTTCCACAAATAGTTATATTTTGAATTGTTAATAGATGTAACCATCGGGAGGGATAGACAACTTTAGGGGATAATGCCAAACAGTTCTCCAAAGTGGTTGCACCAACTTACACTTTACCAGCCAGGTATGAGCATTGCAGCTGCTTACCGTCACTTGGTATTGTTAGTCTTTCCATTTGGGCCGTTCTGATGGGTGTGGAAGGTGCGTGCACTGCAGCTTTAATTTTTATTGCTTCTCTTGCTCTTAACTTTAGTTGCACATTGAAAGTACCTACATATCTTTTTTTTTTTTAAGATTTTATTTTTAAGTATTCTAATCTCTCCACTGAACGTGGAACTTGAACTCACGACCCTGAGATCAAGAGTCACATGTTCTACCTACTGAGTCAGCCAGAGACCACACCTACATATAAAATAAGTTTTTTAGAACCAAACGACCAAACTGACCAAGCTTTTAACTAACTCTTAATTAGGTTAGGCTATGCTAGCTCAAGCCTTAGGTTCAGAAAGCCATAATGAGGGCTCACATTTAAGCAAGTTTAGCCTCTTTGGCCGTGAAACAATCTAAGCAAAGCCCAAATTTCCTTAATGAGTTCCATGTTTTGGGAAATTAGGGACTTTACTGCGTGTGAAACTTTGAGTCAGAGTTCAGATCCTGGTTCAAAACTGGTGCCAGTCACCTGTAATAAATTAAAGGCTTTGAAGAATCAGATTAGCCAGTAAAATTCATTTGTCACCATTCTGGTCACTTTGGGGGATTTGGCCAAGGGTGACATACTGACAGCCTCTATGCCTTACAAAACACACAGAGGGGCGCCTGGGGGGCTCAGCTGGTTAAGCATCTGACTCTTGGGTTTTGGCTCAGGTCATGATCTCCAGGTGTGAGAGCCCCGCATGGGGCTCCACGCTGGGCATGGAGCCTGCTTGGTATTCTCTCCCTCCTTCCCTCCCTCTCTAAAAAAAAAAAATAGAAAGGAAGGAAAATGACCATCATTTTGGGGGGAGGGTGGGTGGGGAGAGGGAGGAAGAGAACTTAAGCAGGCTCCATGCCCAGCACAGAGCCCCACAGGGGCTTGATCTCACAACCCTGAGATCATGACCTGAGCAGAAATCAAGAGTCCGATGCTAAACTGACTGAGCCACCCAGGCACCCTGGGAAATGGCCATCTTGATTAAACTGTGATTCTTATATATATAAGTCCTTTGTCTGATTTAAGTGTTGCAGGTATTTTCTCCAAGTCAGCAGCTTTTTTTCTTTATGGGTATCTTTTATTTTTTAAAGATTTTATTTATTTAGACCGAGAGAGAGAGAGAACACAAGCAGGGGAAGCAGCAGAGGGAGAGGGAGAAAGAGACTCCACACTGAGCAGAGAGCTCGATGTGGGGCTTGATCCCAGGACCCTGAGATCACGACCTGAGTCAAAGGCAGACATTTAACCAACTGGGCCACCCAGGCGCCCCTATGGGTATCTTTTAAACACTAGACATTTCTAAACTTGAAAAATTTGATGCTGCCTTTTGCACTCTAAGAAACTTTTGTCTACCAAACTTCAAAAATATTTTTCCTCCTAAAAATTTTATAGTTTTAGTTTTTGTTTAAATCTTTTTTGAGTTTTGTATATACTGTGGGGTTAGAGTTGAGGTTCAATTTTTTTTTCCCATAAGGCTATTTATTTTTGAACCATTTGTTGAAAAGACTGCTTCTCCCCCATTGAATTACCATAGCATTTTTGTCAAAAGTCAATTAAAATCAACCCGGGGATCTACTTGTGGACCCTCTATTCTCTTCCATTGGTCTCTATCTATCCTTAGGCCAATACCACACTATCTTGATTACTATAGTGTTTTTTGGTTTTTTTTTTTAAGATTTATTTATTTGGGGGGGAGGAGGAGAAGGAAAGGGAGAGAATCTCAAGCAGACTCCCCACTGAGTGCAGAGCCTGAAGCAGGGTTCAATCCCGCGGCCCTGAGATCATGACCTGAGCCAAAATCAAGAGTCAGACACTTAACTTACTGAGCCACCCAGGAGTCTCTTGATTACTACAGTTTTATATAAGATTTGCTATCAGAGTAACTTTTTTCTTTTCCAGAATTATTTTAGCTATTCAAGATTCTTTGTATGTCCATGTAAATTTTAAAATCAACTCGTAAATATCTGCCAAAAAATCCTGCAGGGATTTTGATAAGCATTGCTTAGAATCAACAGGGGAGAACAGATACCTTAAAAGCACTGTCTTCCAATCCTTGGATATGACACAAATATCCTTTCATTCAGGTCTTTAAAACTTTCAGTAATGTTTTGAAGTTTTCAGTATACAGGGTTTTTCACATTTAAAAAGATTTACCCTGGGGCGCCTGGGTGGCTCAGTTGTTAAACGTCTGCCTTCAGCTCAGGTCACGATCCCAGGGTTCTGGGATCGAGCCCTGTGTCAGGCTCCCTGTTCAGCTGGAAGCCTGCTTCTCCCTCTCCCACCCCTCCGCTTGTGTTCCTGCTCTCTCTGTCAAATAAATAAAATCTTTAAAAAAAAATAAAATAAAAAATAAAAAGATTTACCCCTAATTTTTGGTGTTATGGAAAATTATATTTGAATTTCGTTGACAGTATACAGAGATGCAATTGATTTAATGTTGATTTATCTCCTGCAACCTTGTTAATTATTAGTAGTAGCATTTTTTTTTTTTTTTTTAGTTCTTAGGATTTTTTTTGTATGTGCTCATGTCATTTGTGAATAGACAGTTGTACTTCACCCTTTCTAATCTACTGCACCGACTAGGACCTCAAATACAAGTCTGAATAGTGGTAAAGGCATACATCCTCATTTCAGTGATCTTGGGGGGGGAAGTGTTCAACAGTATATCCTTAAATTTGTTACCACTAGGTATTTTATAAATTCCCTTTATTATGTTGAAAAAGTTCCCTTCTATTCATTTGCTGAGAGCTTTTATGAACCTTGTAAAATGCTTTTAGGGAACTTTGTAAAGTGCTCACGTGGTTTCTCAATTTTGTTATTATGGTAAATAATACTAATTGATTTTCAAATATTATACCAACCTTGCATTCCTGAGAAAACCCCACTTTGTCATCAAGTTTTATACATTGCTGGATTCAAATTGCTAATATTTTGTTAATAGAGTTCCCTCCTGTTTTCTAAAATATTACATAAGATGGTATAATTTCATACTTAAATGTATGATAGAATTTTACCAGTGAAGCCATCTGGGCCTAGAATTTTCTTTGTGGGAAGAACAGTAATTCAATTTCTTAAACAGATACAGGAATATTCAAACTCTATTTCTTTTCATGTCCGTTTTGGTAATTTGTGTCTTTCAATAAAGTTATCTATCTCATTTGTCAAATTTACCAGTATATCGTATCTAAACAAAGACAAAGGGGACAAAGGCTGGTCCTTCCTTTGGGTCAGGCCAAATTCCTTACCGCACATTGCCTTTGTTATTAGGAGAGCCTTCCGAGATCAGACAAGATCGGGCACGCTCAGGGTGGGATGGCCATAGACTGTTATTAGGAGAGCCTTGGTGACGAATGTAGGGGTGAGGAGTCATGATGTCTGCGACCGACTTAAAAGAGGAAGAGAGCAATATGTAGCAGACATAAAACCAGTGAAGACATATGGAAATTTATTATACTACTTTCACAACTTTTCTATAGATGTAAAATTTTTGAAAAAGGTTAAGTGATATATTCATATTCTATAACCCAGCAATTTAAAAATAGAAATAACCAGAAAATCACACACATATTCAGCACAAGGAGCTTTATCACGCATCAAAGTTTGAAAACAACCTAAACATCCTACAAAGAGGATCTGATAAACAAACGACAGTACATGACACCAAACACCCAACAACAAAAACGAAATCACATTTTTTCCTCAAGAGTATCTACGTGGAAAAATTTCAGTATAGACGATTGAAGGAAAAGGCTGCAACACTGAATCTATGACCCCATCCTGTTTGCATAGGAAAAAAACTGCAAAACAGCCCCGTGAGCTAAATGTGGTTGTCTCTGAGGGCTGGTGTCACAGGTGAACTGGACTTTTCCTCGCACTCCTTTCCTCGATTTCTTAAAGGATCCCAGAGACTCTCATCACTCCAGCAGCACCAGAAAGGAGAGCCTGCATTTACTTAAGGGTTTAGTAGGCCAGGAGGCATGGTCTGGATTAACCCGAGTACAGGGACACTAGACAGCCCAGCAGAGCAGAAACCACCACGGATTGGACAGACGCCTCCACTGTGAGATCTGGTCTCACTCCCTCCAAGACAGGCAAAGGTTGGGAGACTAAGATGGTACATATGAAAATGGTGAAGTTTCATACAAATGCAAAAGCAAATGCTTTTCTACTTTGTTCCACGAGTACATTCATGGACTTGGTAGCTCTTATTATAGGAAATCCACATGGAACGATGAGGTCTCAAGTTTAGAGATCAGAGTGGAGATTTCAATCTGTGCTTCCTGCACGGTCCTGGGCCAAAGGTTTAGCCTTTCTGAGCCTATTCCCACCCCTGAAAAACTGGCATGATGAAGATAATTTGTAATCACTGTCCTTCCGTATCAAAAGATTTTTGTGGAAGAAGTCTGTGAGGGCGGTCTGCAATCTATGAAGTACTTTGTGAGGTTAATGTTCTTTTAGGGCATGAGTGGTCCAAAATGCCATAATATCTTTGAAGAGCTGGCCTTGGGTGAGAACAGCATTTCAGGGCACCAACGGGCGCTGACACAAGAAACTTCGGGGCGGACAGTGTTCAGGTTGACAGGGACAATCGACTTCATTTGACGGGCAGCACGGAGTACCTGGGATCCAGAGCCGACTGGTCAAAGGCCCTGCCAGGGAAAGATTAGGAGGGTAGGAACCACCCCTACAAAGGGGAGGTGAGTATGTGAGAATCCTTTGTTTTCACCATAGACCTAAACATTCTGCAAAGCTGTATTAGAGAATATGGTAAGGAGCTCACACGATACCCTCCATGCACTGTGCGAGGGGAACACTGCCCCACGCCCTAAAACCTGGGGCTGCCCTGGGCCTCTGGAGAGGGCTGCTGCATCATCCCTGAGCACAGTGCTGACTGTGTGGGCTGCACCATTGTCTAGGCTGCAAAGTGAGGAATGAGCGCATTTCCTCTTGAAATGCCCATGTAAGCCAGCTGGCAACCACGTTAGTAGCAAGATGATCTTGGCAGGGCGTCAGAGGCCAGTAATTGGACAAAATATCTGCCTAACCTGCTGCTGGACATGTGGCAAGAAGATGCAAAACTAGCTGTAGAGGAAATATTTTTGTTTTTCTCTACTCTTTTTTTTTCTCCCTGGAATGCCAAGGACAAATCTTTCTGGGTTTGGGGTCAGTGACAATACACACAGCAAGGAGCTCAGCCTCTCACACCAAGATTCCTTTGACAAAAGCGATCTACTCTTATGAGTGTGAAATCGAACCATTTATTTGACTAAATCACTGTCACCCAGATACACTAAAAAAAAAAAGGAGAAATTTTTTTTTTTTTTTCCAAAAAACCAATTCACTGCTTTCTGCATTAGGAATAATGAAAGCAAGAAATATTGTCAAATCGGGATGTTGAGAGGTAGGCTGGCCACTAAATCTGTAAAAATAATACAAATGCAAACGCCAGAGGTTAAATTCAGGCAATTTATTGTAAACAGGATTACCCTAGCACTCCACCATACTGGCTGTGTCACATGCTCTCCCTTCCACATCAACTAGGCGAAAAGAAGACTTTTTTAAAAAGTCGTAAGTAATAACTTAGTTTGTTTCCCACAAATCTCATTTACTAAGCACTGAGTAAACAGCAGTATCCGGGATAGTCTGTTATTGCTCATGGACTGCAGCGTGGACCCATTTCAATGAATCCATTGGTATGCCTGAGTGATCCAACAGCAGCTCGAGATCCGATGTGGCAACCGGACGATGCTGGAACACCTTGCACAACAATCCAGGTTCCTGGAAGACTACATGAGATTCCTTTCAGATTTCTTCATGTGACTTTCTCATAAAAATGACACTGTTAAATTTCACCCATTTTTTTTTTTAAAAGAGCTAAAAATTACTCCATAGCACATAATTCTCCACAGAAAAGGTAGGTGGATTATTTACTCTTACAGTGGTGGATTTAAACACTCAGGGCTAATTTTAGATCCCTCTTGTATATATTTGCAGTTTCATGAAAAGCTGCATAGTCTACAAATGCATAAAACCAGAAGGAAGTGATGGCTCACGCACCTTCTGATGGACAAAGACAGGCTTCCCACAAGGAAGCTCCTGCAGGTAGGGGTAAAAAGACGGGTACAGCACCACGTTTATCTGACAGTGGAAATGGAGCCCCGCTTTCGAAAGCAGCCTCCACAGGTGTGATTCTATCATTCTTGCCCCAAATGTAGATTATCCGGGAAATGGCAAATGTGAAAACCTAAGGTGTGAAAAGACATGACTCTACAGAAAGAAGTCCTGGCCAATCACTCCCGTAGAGGTAAGATGTCATTGTAGAATGCCATCCTGTTCTTTGCCTGAGTTAGTGGACAATGGGGCCACGTACTGTTACTAGTGCCTGGGTGTGGAAGGATATTCACAATTTCTCTTGAAGCAAGGTTGAACAACAGTAAATATTTCAAAACAGCTGTTAAATCTACAGTAACAATTTCATCTAAAATAGTATCTCATGAAAAAAATAGTTTTTAAAAGTCCACTCCAGTCTTCATCTCTGTTTGTATGTTTATATTTATATATTCAAAAAATAACTTAACACTTAAGGCAATATTAGACTGGTAGCAAAAAGGGATTTTAGAGTCTTCTGGAGATGACGCTATTTAAGAATCAAGGCTTTATTTTTTTATACCTTCAAAAAGGTGGCTTTGTACTTGTTGTCTTTTAAATTCATAATGGGGCAAATATTTCGGTTCATACACCGACTGCAATATCATGGCAGTAAAAAGTTACAAGTGTTTATAATAGCTGATGTTGGAAAAGCATGTCACACACTCAGTGGGATCTGGAGTTGACCCTATTTGTACTCATTAAATAAATACAATAAATGTTTTTGATGGGAAAAGGTAAAACTGATGGAACACTGCAAACCAACTATGAACAAGAATGTCAAAATAATTCAATCAGAAAGAAACAAATCACAGTAATCCTGAGAAATTCAGTTTGGGACAAAATTGATGTAAGGTAAGTCTATATTTCTAATGTTGTAAATAAGTAGGGTGTTCTAGGGTTTTCCAGCATTTTACTAGTTTGAATAAAAAACATGTTCAAATTTTATAAAAAGATTAAAACCATGCCTTATGTAATCAGCAATTTCATTTATAATAAAAGAAAATTATTTTAGCTTTGTTCATTATTTGCCCAATGTTAATGTTCTCCATTGACTTACATGAAACCACCAAGTAGAAAGCAAATTTGAGGATCAGTTTTTAAAAAGGTATTACACCTTTCTAAAGGTTTTAAAGCCTTTTCTGTCAACCTAGGAGGCTTTTAGGGAAAAAAAAAACCTAACATATTGTCTTCTGACAAGTGACTATTTTACGGAATAGGGAAGGGAAGATTCTATAGGAATATCATTCATCATTTTAAGTACTGTTATAGAAGGGAAATTTCTCTTAGTAATGGAAAGAAAAATTTTAAAATATTTAAGAGGCATGTATTTAAAAAATATTCTACATCTATAAGATTTTGTAATTTAATTACTTTGGATTTTTACTATTTCTACATAATGACATTTGACAAACTCCTTTTTTTTTTTTTTTTTTCTGTTTGTCTCTCGAATAGTGAACCAGAAACTATTAAAGTGGCCGAGGTTGTTTTCCTAGCCCCTGGAAGGCTCAGGGATGCATCCTTCTGCACTTTCCCACCCTTGAGGAATCTTCAGAGTTTTGCAGCCATGAAGTTAATATGTGGTTTCACAAGGGGAAACAGTGGCAAACCACGCTTGAACTCAGTCATGTTCTGAATCACTTCAGGCTGCAAAGAAAAAAAGTTCTCTTAGTGTTTATAGTCTAAAAAAGCAGACTTACTAGGACATCAACTTTTTTTTTTTTTTTTTTTTCACATACACACTAGTTTCTACCCCACATACTATGATCTGATCTTCCTCGATCAGTAGGGCTGGAGGGTCTATGCAAACCTACGGTGAGCGTCCCCAGTGGGACCCAGGGCCAGAAAGAAGACGCTTGGCTTTCCTCTGGGCACACAAGGTTAGGACACAAGAGCTGGCACTCAAGTCTCCAGCAGGATGCAGGGGTTGGTGTACCTACTCAGCAAGGGCCTGGTCACACTGCCAGTTTCCTCCTCCTACCAGTAAATGCCAACCTTTCCAGATGATTAAAATATGATGGCACCATGGAAGGGGCTAGGTACCGACATGGCTGAAGATAACTCTCTGGAGAGCAACATAACTGTTCAAACTAGAAGCAAAGGCAAACAAGTTCAGAGGCTCAGTCTGTCTGCAGATGACAAAGGCATGACCCCTGGAAGCTGTCAGAATGGCGACCCGGCCTTTAAGGGGAATGTAGAGGCTCAAACGCCTGGTGACTGGAAACCTCTCGTCTTAGGTGTCCTGATGAAAAAGCTCCTTCTAAGTAGGAAGTCCTCTAACCATGTAATCTAACATGACATTTGCATTTCTTACTTGTGGCAAGGCTGGTGCTTGTGACAAATTTATATCATTTTGACATGGGAACTCTCCAACCACAGGACCTAGAAGAAAATGAAAGGTTTACTGCTTACTTAATAAATACTGGCATACAAGGGCAACTTGAAAAAAAAATTTGAAACCGGACTTGGCTCATTAAGAAACTGTACCAGGCCCATGTCCTCTCAGGCTTCCTGCTCCCTAAGACCTTGACTGCTTGTCCTACTTCCTACCCAGACTGTCCCCAGTGATGGTTCATGATGTTACTGTGGCTATAAAGCCTTGCCCACAGCAACTTTGGTGCCCATATCTGGCCTCACCGGACCCTGAGGCTCTGACCACCAGGAAGGATCCAGTAAAACAACTCAGAAGGCCAGGGGAGCTAATGGTTGTGGGGTAAACCTCAGCCACTCAGAGACAGAAGATGGGAAGGACTGAGCAGATAAACTGCATGCAGTGGTCCCACACAGTTTCTTCAAAGATATCCTGTGTTTTCTTGAAAAGCTGTGACCAGCTTGGCCACCTACTGCTGGCTCTCTCCTTCACTGCCTCATTTCCCTTTGCCCCTTATTTTTGCTTTGATAGGGCAGACCCTGCCTCCAGTTAGTCCCTTTCTCTACCTCTTTACTCTCTGATGCTCTATTAAGGGATGTGCCAATGGCAAGGGACAACCATCATGTACCTAAAAATATACTTTAAAAAAAGTCAACATTCAATACTTACAAGAATCCATTTCCCTGGCAAGAACATGGACGGATACCTTATGTCTCCTTGGGGCATCTACTGCCAACATTTCCTAGGGAGAAAGAACAGCAGGTGACACTTCTGCCCCACTAAGGAACTTAAAAGGAAGTACTCTATTACGAATATCAAGAATCAGCTCTCACATAGCCAGAAACAGAAAAGATGTTTCCCCCCACTTAAGAGTATTTTCTTTAGGGGCGCCTGGGTGGCTCAGTTGTTAAGCATCTGCCTTTGGCTCAGGTCATGATCCCAGGGTCTTGGGATTGATGGCTCCCTGTTCGGCAGGAAGCCTGCTTCTCCCTCTCCCACTCCCCCTGCTTGTGTTCCTGCTCTCGCTGTCTCTCTCTGTCAAATAAGTAAAATCTTAAAAAAAAAAAAAAAATGAGTATTTCCTTTAAACTCTACAAAGATTAGGTACAGTAGGCAAGAATTATTATTAACCCCATTTTACAAATGAGAAAATGGAGTCCACAGAGATTAAGTGATATACTCAAACTCCTGTAGTTAATAAGTACCTGGGCTGGAATTGAAAACATAGCCTAGTACTCATCGGGGTGTGACGCAGGGCTATATCTAGTGATCTTTTTAAAAAAATTTTTTATTGTTATGTTAATCCCCATACATTACATCATTAGTTTTAGATGAAGTGTTCCATGATTCATTGTTTGTGCATAACACCCAGGGCTCCATGCAGAACGTGCCCTCTTTAATACCCATCACTGGGCTAACCCATCCTCCCACCTCCCTCCCCTCTAGAACCCTCAGTTTGTTTCTCAGAGTCCATCGTCTCTCATGGTTCGTCTCCCCCTCCGATTTCCCCCCTTCATTCCTCCTCTCCTGCTATCTTCTTTTTTTTCTTAACATATATTGCATTGTTTCAGAGGTACAGATCTGTGATTCAACAGTCTTGCACAATTCACAGCGCTCACCATAGCACATACCCTCCCCAGTGTCTATCACCCAGTCACCCCATCCCTCCCACCCCACCCCCCACTCCAGCAACCCTCAGTTTGTTTCCTGAGATTAAGAATTCCTCATACCAGTGAGGTCATATGATACATGTCTTTCTCTGATTGACTTATTTCGCTCAGCATAACACCCTCCAGTTCCATCCACATCGTTGCAAATGTGTATCTAGTGATCTTAATGACTCCAGAGACAATGGCCTGAGCTTAGTCAAGGGACGAGCACAACCTGCTCCTCTAAGAACCTTCTTAGATTCTGCACCAGGGCACTACCATGGTTCCTCATCTACCAAAAGAGAAAGGAAACTAACATTTCTCGAGTCCTACCTTGCATCAGGCCCTCTCCTGCATTAGCACACTTGATTCTCTGTAGGCTAAGTGTCACGATGGTCTGATTTTAGAGACACAGACTCTGAGACACAGGGCGGTATGATGACTTGCTTCATGTAGCTCACAGTGATGGTATGAGAGAAGCAAGCTGGTTCTCTCCACTCCACCAGGCTGCTTTGAAGGACTGCCCTAGGTCCTACCATGAACACCAGGACTGGTGAGTTGGTAGATCCTGTGGGAAAGTGTCTCTTGACCTTGTCCTTAATCTGGACCATTATCGGTTTTTTCCAAAGGGAAAAACAAGTTGTGATGAAGCTTTCCCTGATTACAGCCTCAGAGGGAGAGGTCGTGGACAAAGCCACAGCAGCTCACTCACTGTTTACGGAGCAGTTACGACAAGTCCTGTGCAGTTGCAGTGGAAACCCTGCTGCCGGTGCACAGCAAATGCGCCCGTGGCTCCCTCCCGTGGCTCCCTCTCACGCCCACAGACCTGCCCTGACCCCTCCAGCCTCTTTTAGGAGCTTGGCCCAGGTTTGCCTCCAGTAACACACAGTACCTCACCTAAGATTGTCTCACCTACTGAGTAAAAGGTTTGCTTCCAAAGATCTAGTCACCATCCCTTTTCACCCAAACCTTCACTGCCCTCTTATCAACCTTTATCAGTAGAGCGTTAACACCCTCTTCAGTTTCAGACTAGTCTCAATTTCCCGACCAACGCTAGACAATCTCCATCTATCTTTCTATCTTCCTTCCTTCCTTCTCTCTAAGATTTTATTTATTTATTTATTTATATGAGAGAGAGAGTGTGAGCCCAAGAGTAGGGTGAGGGGCAGAGGGAGGAGCAGACTCCCCATGGAGCAGGGAGCCTGACAATGTGGGGAAGCCATCCCAGGACCCTGGGATCATGACCTGAGCGGAAGGCAGACGCTTAACCAACTGAGCCACCCAGGTGCCCTAATCTCCATCTTTTTAAACACAAACCAACCAATAAACAAATTGCATTTTCTTGCAAACTGTATTCTAAGGAACACTGGAGTCCCAGGAGATACTTATAGGTATTTTGTGGGGAGGGAAAAAAAAAAGAAAAAAAGATGCATGATGAATCAATTTAGGAAGTTTCGTGAGTCAGGGGCGCCTGGGTGGCTCCGTCGGTGAAGAGTCTGACTCTTGGGTTTCGGCTCAGGTCATGATCTCAGAGTTGTGAGATCGAGCCCACGTTGAGCCCTGTGCTCAGTCAGCTTGGGATTTTCTCTCTCTCCCTCTGCCCCTTCCCCGGCTCACACTCTCTCTCTCCAACAAATAAATAAATAAAATCTTTAAAAAAAAAAAAAAAGTTTTGTTAGTCAAAATTAAACGCTAGGCTAAAGAAATCTTTATTGTGGGGTTTCTTAGAACTTTTAAAATGCTAACACACTCTGTGATTCTCCAAAAACAAGAATAAAGAGTATAGTCTTTCCCAAACTTACATGGTCATGAAACCCTTTTTTGTAGGGGCCCCTACTAATATCTTGCGGAACACTAGTGTACCATGGAACACAGCTAGGGAAATGATGTTCTAGACTTAGCTTAAGCTTGGTAATTAAACTCTCATTTTTTAAGACAAGAAAAAGTCTTATAACTGCTACTCTTACAAATTCAGTAATTAGGTACTACTTGTAATTTCAAATGAATAATAGAATTTGTGGCAGGAAAGAGAAAAATCTTCATTGCTTGTGGAAACAGTAGAGTAAGTTATATTAGGACATCACTCTTTTTAAACACCCACAACAATTAATGCCTTAAATGAATGCTTTAGAAACCAAAAAGAGCTGAACATGATCAGCCTTTCTTATAAGCCACTGGGAACAGAAACCTAACTTCACAAAGCAAACAGTCTGAAGCAATAAACACAACTAAAACTTATTTTATAATATCAACGAGGAAAACATTCTGATTTAAAGCATTCTGATTAAAACACTTAAAAAACTCAGGCTGAGAATTACTACTGAAGAGCTAACAGCAACAGAGACCATTTATTTTTAATTTTTTTTAGAAGATTTTATTTATTTATTTGACAGAGAGAGACACAGCGAGAAAGGGAACACAAGCAGGGGGAGTGGGAGAGGGAGAAGCAGGCTTCCCGCGGAGCAGGGAGCCCAATGCGGGGCTCGATCCCAGGACCCTGGGATCATGACCTGAGCCGAACGCAGACACTTAACCGACTGAGCCACCCAGGGGGCCAACAAAGACCATTTATTAAATGCTAAGTACCAATCACTTCACGCACCTCATTTCAATTAACACTCCTATTGATCTATATTTTGTAAATAAGGAAACTGAAGCTCAGAAGCTCTAGTCCCTGGGTTTTCATTCAGAAGCCACACGTGCTCCTGCCGCTGCTTCATGGGTAAAAGAGCTTCAGAGAAGGTGAGCTGACCGAAGCTGCAGCTCTAAGCAGGGCAGTAGGTTCAAAGCAGTAACATACAACACGGCACAAATAACAGTTGCTTATGAGTCAAAATCTAAACATGTAAGTTCAACTTACCTTGTAGAATTTGATGATATCTTCCTTGGTAAGTGTCTTTAAATATGCAACTTCCGTATTGTCTGAAAAAGCATTCAAACAATAATTTACTAATATTTCCATCTTAAGTAGCCCAGAACACTACATTAAATGACAATATGCTTCACTCCAGTGCTCTTAGGTATCCCTATTTTTAAGCAATCACCTGCTCCTGCAAGTAGTAAGGGGATAAATATCAACGAAGAGTAAGAAGATATCCTGGCTCTCTACTTAGGAGCTACTGGATCTGTAGGCTGGTCACATCAACTTTTCTGAGCCTCAGTTTCCTCATCTGGAAATTGGGGATAATAACTACTTAAAGGGGCTGCTGTGAGAACAGAGGAAAAGGATGAATGACGGTAACACGATGCTACCCCCATGGCAAAGGCTCAAGAAACGGGAGGTACCATCACCAATGGCTAAACAATGACAGGTAAGGAAACGGAGGCCCAAAAAAAGGTGTCAGAATGAGAACACAACCCAACCCCTGACTTCCAGGGCAGCTTAACACCCCACACCGTTCATCTCTGCTGTAGAAGACGGAAGCCGATGAGTGGGAGACTTCAGGGAGCACGGCGGTCCCAAATGTAAAGACACTGACACACTTTTGGAGATCCCTGCAGGCAAATGTTCAAACCCCTGTGCCCCAGGGCAGCACTTATCTTAGGAGAGTTCAATCTGCACATTTTCCTTTTTCTTTTTTTAGTGTTATGGGAAATAGATAACTACGTATCTGTGCTCAGCGCCTCAGGGCACACTAACTGAACACAACACAGTGAAATTAGATTTATTATTACTGCATTATTATGAGATACAGGTAGATCCAGCTCTAGTTTTAGAGAAGAAAAAAAGATAAAGTTTCTAATAAAAACTGTTATTACGTTAAAAAATGGTTCTTTATGAACCATGAGAGACGATGGACTCTGAAAAACAAACTGAGGGTTCTAGAGGGGAGGGGGGTGGGAGGATGGGTTGGCCTCGTGATGGGTATTAAAGAGGGCACGTTCTGCACGGAGCACTGGGTGTTATGCACAAACAATGAATCATGCAACACTACATCAAAAACTAATGATGTAATGTATGGTGATTAACATAACAATAAAAAAATTTTTAAAAATGGTTCTTTAGAAGCGCTATGCTCCACACCCCCACCAAATTAGCACTGGAACATCACCTACAAGACGACTACCATTTTGTAGAACGGCTTCCATGTCCTCAAACGTTACACTTATATGCCATAAATGTCGGGGCCCTAATTTTTCCTTACCTCTGTCAAAATTGTATTGCTGAGAGATGATTTCCCCCCAATATTTAGCACACTCTGCGGATAGTTTCTTTGGTTTGTCTAGTCGACGAATTGCTAATGCTTGAATGTGTTTCTGAAAAGCCTCTTCTGTCATGTCCTCTATGGACTTCTCCATGGTGATTAGGAAAGCTTCCACTCTGCTCTCTAGGTAGTGAGGCGGCTTTTCTGACTGGATGATGAATCGTAAGCCCTGAATGCCGTTGGCTCGACGTGGCCCACTGAAGACAATGTAGCCTGAAACACAAACACCAGCCAGTCAGGACCCTGGCATTTGAGCTTGGGTCACTTTTAATCCTTCAAAACTTCTATCAGAGCAGTAAAATCTTTCAGGCTTTATTTTTTCCACCTCTGAAGAAATATAAACAACTAGGATATCCTAAGTTCCTAAGGATAGAGCAAAAGAGCTCTCTGAAGAACAGTTAGAAAGTTGGGAGAGAATTCTTTCTTCCTAAAAAAAAAAAAAGAAAAGAAAAGAAAAAACCCTCTTCATTATGCAGTCTCACATCCCACAACTCCTCACTGTGTGCTAGCTAATCATCCTCAATCTATGTTAAAGCCATTCCCATTCCTAGGATAGACTAAACTCATTTTCCTCCCCTAACCATGATTCCACCTGTTTCCTTTCACATCCAAGTTCCTTATGTGAATCCATTCCTGGACCAACTCTATTCGAACTAAAAATTTCAAGAGACCAAGTAACAGAAGGTCACACTTCCGTTGTCATCTTGTGAGTTCACGCACAACCACTCTTCCATGTCTTTCTAAAACTGGGCTTGTGGCTTGTGTAACTCAGCTGCTCTGCCCTGAACCACATCTCTGACAGCTGTGGTGTCTTCAGGTCCCACTTCTGAGGAAGTCACTATCTTCAGCATGACCTTCAGACTGAAGACTCTTGGCAACATTTACCACACTGCACGGTAACTCTTCCTTTATAGTTTGTTCATGGTCTGTCTCCCCTGCCATAATGTCAGCTCAGAGAGGGCACGGACTTCACTTCTGTTCACTGCTGATCGACAGTGAGCTCCTTGAAGGGAAGGGCCATCCATAGCTTATCCATTTTCCTTGACCAGCATCTAGTGTGGTGGTTGTTTAAAAAATGAAAATACTCGGAAAGACTCACTCAAATCCTCTTTCATTGGTTCTTCCCAGTCATTACTGGGGCTTCGTTCTTTTCTCATTGATTAAACCTGACAGGATCTCCAGGATTTTTAATAGTGCCTAAAACTCTGCCTGAAATATTTTCTCAACAAACACTTAATGAGTACCTTCTATATGCCCCAGGCTTGGGATAAAAAGATGGATAAGAGATAATACCTGCCCTCAGGGAACCCAAAGTTTCATGAATCTAAGCTTCTCTACATGGCTTGCTTTCCATAATAAATAATCTGCCGTTAGCATCCTCTCTCCCTACCCAAAATGTCCTTTATTGACATGTATGTACCCTAAACACAAGGTCTTCTCCTTAAGAACTGCTTTAATGTCCAGAAGATGTTAGTTGCTTATTTTTTAGAAGTAGATTCCCCATAAACAAAGTTTTCACAAGCCTTTCTCAATACAGCAAGCCCGCAGCACCATGCAAGGGGACCGTACATGTGGAGAATGTTTTCTTTTTTTTTTTTTTTAAGATTTTATTTATTTATTTGAGAGAGAGAGTCAGAGAGAGAGAGCACAAGACGGAGGAGCGGGAGAGGGAGAAGCAGACTCCCTGCTGAGCAGGGAGCCTGATGCGGGACTCGATCCCGGGACTCCAGGATCATGACCTGAGCCGAAGGCAGTCGCTTAACCAACTGAGCCACCCAGGCGCCCTGGAGAATATTTTCTGAGGACAACGGTTGCTCAAAGTCTACGGTATCCCACTAGTCTCCGCTTCCCTCTCACCTAGCTGCTCCTTGGTGCGCAGGGTGTTGAAGCAAGGTTCAGAGATGATTTGACAGAAGAGCTCTAGAAACATATTCTCTGAGGTGCTCTGCATGTCTGTCTGGTAGTATATCTCGATGCCACAGTTATTGTGAACTTCATTCCTCTGCTGATACACAAACCATCCTCCTAGGAAGTTTCAAAAAGAGAACAGGTTCAAAAACTTATTTAGGGTTTAATAAAGCCAATGTTTTGTCTGGCTTTTTAAAGTTGTTCTATTTGGTTGGTGTTTTTCAGCAATTCCAAACTGCAATTAATTTATTAAGAATGTGAAACTCAACTAACTTACCTAAGGGAATCCTTAGGTAAATATAGCGATTTGAACTTGGTAGGACCCTCAATAAACATTCATCGAATTTAAGGGGCAAAGAATTTACAAAAGACCCATTTTATGGCTAAGTATTAATTATTAATTAAGTAAGATCCACAGTTAATACAATGTACAAGTTAGTGTATGTACTAGATTAGAAGTAGCTAATACAGATAAAAACCTCAACGGAAATACCACTTATGTTTTAATAAACATACAAAACCAATTCTTCTAAAATTACTAGTTGTGCCTTTATTATTTATTATTATTATTACTGCATTTCAATTTAGTATTTTATTCTCAATATCAACACCCACACTAAAGATCATTTCACAAATTCACACAAATGTGTACAATGCTTGGAGATAACTTAGCCTGATAGCTCCCTGTAGAGAGAGGAAACTAGGACCCCGAGAAGCGGGGGGACGTGTCTAAGGACACCACACTGGAATGGTGGAGAAGAGCGAAGACTAAAACTCAGACGTGTTGTCAAATACCTCACCAGAGTTACGAAGAGATGATCATGCTTTAGGATTTAATAAGTTTACTTCATGAGCCGTCAGTGAGCATATATAGTGTTTAGTACTCAGTATAAGACTCCCAAAGAAAACTTCTCAGAGTAGTAATGATGTTTGCTCACTTACAGATGGTGATTCAGACATCAACAGTGAAGGGAGGCACACAAGCTGAAGTCGTATTTCACCGATTTCATTTTTCTGACCAGATCCAAGTTTGACCCACAGTCACACTTTCTGATCGTATACCGACGGCACAAAGTCTCCTCTCATCACAAGTCACTACTCCCAATTTCTAGCCTTTTCACATATATCCCAAACTGTCTCCTCCTTCACAACGCCTGAAAATTTTCTTTTTAAATTATAAATATTGTCTTCTGGAGAGTTAACTGAAGGGCTGTGTAAGACAGTCACACCTGGTCAACTGGCTAAATTAGAATGATTTCCTAACACCCAGCATTTGGAGAACGGGATGTGAACTGAGCTATTTCTGAGCATGAAACAACTGGCGAGTGCACCTGGAAAGCAAAAGAGATAAAGCCCTAGAAGAGGAAAGAGAAAGCAGGAGGTGTGATAAAAAGAGGTGTGAAAGACTGCTTTCAATTTGAACATCTGTTTCTGGACTGGCCTCCCTTTGCCCGACGCCCAAGTGCCATGGTTTCCGAGTGGCAGATCTTGATTCTTCTTGTCTGCCTCGCGGCGGTGAGAGAGAACAGACCAGCACAGGTTTGACACGAACCGTTACCAGGTCTGTGATGATGCAGAAGAGTAGAGCTGTGTTCAAGGTATCTCTGCGTGTTCAACAACAATATCCTGAGGTAACACCGTGTTGGAGTAGCTTTAGCAGCTTCTCAAAGGATCCAGACACAGCCCCCGACCCTAAGAATTGTATAGTCCAACAACAGAGATGGACATGCACCTCAATCCCAATGCAAGAGAAGTACTCAGTAGCTTCAACAAGGAAAACTTCAGAAAACCTGTGCTGGGAGGTCTGAAGAGGAGGACTACTTCCAGCTGGGAGTTTGGGGAAAAGTTTAGTGGAATGGGTGGTTTGTAAGATGGGGCCTGGAAGGAAGAATAGGGTACAGATGTCTATAAGGAAGAGAGAAGGAAAGGGAGCACAATTTCAGGCAGATGAAATAGTGTGAGTGTAAAGTGTGTGTTTGTGTGTGTGTCTGTGTGTGTGTGTGTGTGTGTGTGTGTGTGTAGAGGGGCCGGCTCAGAGCACACACCACACATGCATGGGGAACAGCCAACAATCACATTTAGCTAAAAACAACAACAAAGAGAACAAAAAAAAACAATGCTTCTCATCCTCGGTCTAATTTACTACCTATTATATAATTTTGAACAATAACTGAAAATAATGCTTAATGAGTTTTTCTATGAAAAGAAACCATTGTTAATACAAAAGTAATCCAACACTGCAAACTCCAGTACATTAATTATTACCCATTCTTTTATGCTAATTCCTTATGAAATATGCATGTAACGAATACATGGTGCTGTCTGCACCTGTGAGTTTCCTAAAACTATTTCTGCCAAAGACTCCTATGGGCTTCCAATTCAGTATGATGATTCTAGTGTCCATTTTTCGTAAATAGATTTTATTTCATGCTTCACAGTCAACATTTCTTTAGCTTTGTACCTTTTTTACTTCCTAACTCTTCTACATTCAACTACCAGTCAATCCCAATGTCATTCTCTTCAAAATAATTGCCTACCTCCAATTTCATCTCTTTGGCCTTCCTACAGAGAATTTTCTGGCAGAATTACTTCTCTTTAACCATACTTCTATAAATCATAGAAGATCCCAGTAGATCTTTACCATAAAACCATACATTATCATCCAAGTGACTTCAACCCACCTGTAATCACCCACAACATTATGTCAAAGTAGTCCGTTACCAAAGTTAATAAGACATTCCAACTTACTGTCAGGGAGCTGAACTTCTCTATACCGAACCAGCTGACTTGGAAGGAGAGGTTTTGTATGAGCATGTTCAATGAGGGTGTCTTCAACCATCTGCATAATTCCTAGTGCAGCCTGTGGGAAAAGGGCATAGCACATTACAAAACTACAAATGTTATCTTGTCTGTGAAAATAAAAATAGTATACTGGGTGGTGGCCCATGCAATATGAAAACAACATGCTTGTGAAATACACTAGTTTATCATAAAAGTGGATTTTTAAGCCTTAAATATATTTGATCCTATTCAAATGGATAAACATTGAATTTGTCAACTGGCAATACAGTCAATATGGTGGAGGTGAAGAAAAACAGAGACCCAGACCAGCATCGACAATGATCTCAATGCTGCGGGAAAAGGTACCGCCAAAGCTGGAGGGGTACTGGTGATGGAAAGTTGGTCCCAAGTGAATGACCCTGACAATAGACACTTGGGGTTATAGCAAAGCAAAGGAAGTGAGTGAGCAAAAGGCTTTTGAAAAACATAAAACTGAGGTGCCTAGATGGCTCAGTCGGTTGAGCGTCTGACTCTTGGTTTCAGCTCAAGTTATGATCTCAGGGTTGTGAGATCGAGCCCCGAATTTGGCTCTGTGCTCAGCGGGGAGTCTGCTTGAGATTCTCTCTCCCTGCACCCCCCACCTCCACTCACGTGCACTCTCTATCTCTCAAATTAATAAATAAAATCTTTAATAAATAAATCTGACCTTAGTAAAAAAATCCTGTCTCTGCCACTTATTAGCATCTGACCCTGGGCATACTGTTTTGGAGGCAGGATAGCAGAGTAGTAGGGAAAGGGTGGGGTCTTTTTTTTTTTTTAAGATTTTATTTATTTGTCAGAGAAAGAGAGAGAGCGAGCACAAGCAGGGAGAGTGGCAGGCAGAGGGACAAGCAGGCTCCCCGCTGAGCAAGGAGCCTGATGCGGGACTCGATCCCAGGACCCTGGGATCATGACCTGAACCGAAGGCATACACTTAACTGACTGAGCCACCCAGGCATCCCGCGAATGTGGGGGCTTGAGAGAGGCTGCCAGAATTCCAGAATGGGAATTCCAGAAAGCCTTCCATATGCTAAACATTTGGCATGTATCATTTAATTTAATCTTTAAACTCTAATGTACAGATGAAAAAAACTGAGTACTGAGAGGTTAACACATTTCGGAAGAATAAGTATCTAGTATGTGGCAGAGTCAGGATTTAAATGCAGGCTGATTCCACACCATGTGCTCTTATCCACTACACAGTCCTGCTGTCCTACACAGAGAAGGGATAATTATTTCCATTTCCTCCTGTGATTGCACAAGGCAGGCAAGAGCAGAGGAGGCAGCCATGAAAGTAGGTCCACAGTTAGCCACCATCATTCTACTCCCTCATATGCTGTCCTATCTTCCTCCATAGAGCAGAGAAGTCAACACTAATGTGCTTACAATCACACTGTGGCGGTGCATAGTCTTAGGCCAGGGTAAAGAAAATCTCTTACACTGATCCATAAAAGTCTGCTAAAACCCCAACCACGCACCTGCTTTGTTATGTTTCCATGGAGAAGGGCTTCGATGTGCAGCCGTGACAGGAGCTGAGGTATGAAGGCCTTAAGGCGAGGAAGGGTGACATCTATGAAGGTGTAAAAAATAGTGAGCTCTACCTATGAGTTTTCAAAGGAAACCACCCTGAGCTAATTGAAGATTTAGAGAAGAATTACAAAAACAGTACAGAGTTCCATATACCCTTTACCCAGTTTCCCCGAAGATTAGTATCTTTCCATAGCACAACGGTCAAAACTAAGAAATTAACACTGCTACAATACTAGTCACTAACACAGTTTTTATTTGATTTTAGTTTTTCCTAATATTCCTTTTCTGTTCCACGATTTAACCCATGATTCCACCTTGCATTTAGTTATGTGTCCTTAGTGCTGTAGGTTTCCTCTAATCCATGACAGTTTCCATCTTTCCTTGTCTTCTATGACCCTAAAATTTTTGAAGAGTACTGTTCAGTTACTTTATGGAATGCCCTGTGAGTCTGTCCAGTGTTTTCCCATGACTAAACTGAGCTTAACTACTCAACTACTAGGAAGAATACCACAGAGGTAATGTGCCCTTATCAATGCATCACATCAGGGGAACATGATGTTGATATGCTGTCGTCCTGGTGATGTTAACACTGACCACTTGGTTACGGTGCTGTCTGCCAGAGGTCTTTACTGTAAGTGCACTGTTTTTATCTTTCAGTTATAACAGAGTAACTCATGTATGTTCTACAGGCAATTAGGTAAAGAAAGCTATCTGCCCATCAATGCTGACTTTTCTGATTGTGATTAATAAATATTTATTTGGGGGAAAATATATTTTAAGATTATACAAATATCCTGTTTTCCCTTACTCATAAATTTTAGCATCCAATGGTGCACTGTATTAATTAGTATTATGGCACCATAATAGTGATTTTTCTGTTCCCCTCATTCCTTTTCCATGAATTGATTTGGCTCTTCAATAAGAAAGAGTTGTTCCTTCTCCATTAGGACATCATACTAGTAACTGCTGCCATGGATGCTAAAAACAGTAACTAAAATTCAAAGAGAGACATGGGAAGGGAATTAACCTTACTTACTTACTCTGGGTCTGTCACTTTATATGTGTTATCTTATAAACCTCAAAGTATGCACTACTATCACAATTTTAAAGGTGAGAGAACCAAAGTGAAGGAAATTTAAGTTTCTTTCCAAAGGCATCAAGCTAGTAAGTTAAGTTGCAGAGCTGGCACTTGACCCCTGGTCTGACTAACCTTGAAGTGCATGCTTGCTCTCCAGACCCCGTGAGCTCTCTCTGCAGATCTCTACCACAACACCTACTCTCTTCGCCTGTACTGAAATGATCTGTTTACATTCAGGTGTGGCCACTAGACTGGAACTCCTTGATCCAAGAAACCCCATCTATAATGGATCACTGTTTATCTCAAGCAACTGAAGTCTAGGGCCTGGTGCACAGCAGGCGGTCAGTAAATGCTGTTGAACCAAACTGGACTCTGAGGTTCCTGCTACCCTGGCACCTGGACAGCTGACTGACTGGCAGCCACGAGGGAGCCAGCCTCTCACATTGAAGTGTTGCCACATTAAGCCACGTCGACATTACTGGATTATTCTATGTGTATATACATACACCGCAGTAGAAGGATTATTTATTTGAGCAGAGAATGTCAACCAAAAAAGCACTTTCTCTATAAAAAACACATTTTAGATTTCATATGCCTATGATATACTTTATAGAGCTTATTTTGCTTAAAATTTATATACCATCTGACCCAGAATCTAACAAAGGGGGGAAAAATGAAAAACTTTTGCTTTTTGATTATGCTGAGTACAGGTTCAAGTTTTAAAATAGTTTTTAAACCAATTATGTGATTTAAAAAAAAGGTAAAATTCTTGCTGTTAACTAGACGTGACTCAAACATTTTGCAAAGTCTATTAACTGTCTGGATTAAAAATGCATTAGTTCTGGGGCGCTTGGGTGGCTCAGTTGTTAAGCGTCTGCCTTCGGTTCAGGTCATGATCCCAGGTCCTGGGATTGAGCCCGCATCGGCTCCCTGCTCGGCGGGAAGCCTGCTTCTCCCTTTCCCACTCCCCCTGCTTGTGTTCCCTCTCTTGCTGTGTCTCTGTCAAATAAATAAATAAAATCTTTAAAAGAAAAATGCATTAGTTCTAGCTAATGAATTTTATAATCTATATGCCTACCCAATGTCTGAGGCAACCAATAAAATGTCAATACTCTGCTCGATTTGTCACTGAAGACATCAAAAGTATTATACTTACATAGTAAGCATAAGGACTTGTCATAAAATGTCACATTAAAAATTCAACAGTATTCTTTTACTGCTGAGCACGTGGGGGAAAAGATTAGTTGGTAAAGTAATGCTGAGAAGGGAGACAGATAAAACAATAAAGGGTACTATCAGTCTACATTCTTTCTAATAAAACAATCCTGAAGTAATTTCATTCCATTCAGTAGGCATTCATTAGATGCATACTGAGGACATACTTTATACTGGATAACAAATAAAGAGAATAAAAAGAAGGCATAATCACTGCCCTCAAGGAATTTAGGACTTTCAAGCAAAACTTCTGATTAGAAAAAAAGCAACAAAGAATGACTCTTTAAGCTTTACACATTTTCCAGTTTTTAACTGAACAAATCCAAAGATGCCTGAGCATGCTTCCTATATGATAAGACTTTCAAGCTCAGCCCTTTTATCCTCTTCTGAAAACTTCAATATTAACAAGGTAAGTGTTTTGGTCAAAACCTTTAGTCAGCCACAGAAATCTATGAACAGCAATAACTACCTGCTATGGGTCCAGGTTGAAAGCAGCAAATGTGGCTACACTGCCTGAATACCAAAGCCACTTCGAAGGCCACCACTGTTTTTATATTTGAAAAAAAAAAAAAAAGTATGCACAGCTGTTTTTTTTTTTTTTTTTTAAGATTTTATTTATTTATTTGACAGAGAGAGACAGCGAGAGAGGGAACACAAGCAGGGGGAGTGGGAGAGGGAGAAGCAGGCCTCCCGCCGAGCAGGGAGCCCGACGTGGGACTCGATCCCAGGACCCTGGGATCATGACCTGAGCTGAAGGCAGACGCCTAACGACTGAACCACCCAGGTGCCCCAATGCACAGCTGGCTTTAATAAAACTACAAGTTACTAGAAAGCATAAACACTAGATACCAGGATAAATCATAATGATTTTAGAAAAAAATGAAGAGTGTTATAAGTAGAAAACGAGCCTTACCATCCAGGGCTTCTTTTAATTCATCTTTAGTCCAGGCCACTTCAGTCATCAGCAGGCGGAGGTAGTACATGGCGTGCTGGTGAGGCTGCTCAGCTCGGAAATTGTTAAGAGATCGCATATACTAGTAAAGGGAGAAACAGGTTCATTAATTTTATAAGTCCTTTTAAAATCATTTAAAAAATTTCAACTATGGGGCGCCTAGGTGGCTCAGATGGTTAAGCGTCTGCCTTCGGCTCAGGTCATGATCCTAGGGTCCTGGGATCGAGTCCTGCATCGGGCTCCCTGCTAGGCGGGGAGCCTGCTTCTCCCTCTGCCTCTGCCTCTCTCTCTCTCTCTCTCTGACTCCCATGAATAAATAAATAAAACATTTAAAAAAAAAAAAAGATCAACTATAATCAAACTTCATTCTGCATAAATCCCGTGTTACTGGGATGCAGGAATATCTGTTTCTTTCTCCTTTTTGAAGTGAGGTAATTTAGAATGGGGCTTACTCTAATATTCTCTGATTCTTAAAGGGCGTGCTTTTTCTTTGTCTGGGCTGCTGCTTTATCCCCAGCGTCTGACATGTATTCTAAGTGTCCTCACCATGAGACGTCTTTCACTCCTCAGAAAGTCATCCCCAGTTTTCAGGGCCTGCCCTATTGTGACAAGGTTCTCATGGCAGGCAGACCTCAGTCACAGAATCATGTGTCCTTCTGAAGTGGAGGGTGGATGAAACTTTCAAGGGGTCCCTCACAGCTACTAGGTCTACCTCAGGCTTCTCTCTGAAAGTCAGTGCTGCAACCTGCCCAGCTCTTGAGGGTCAGGTGTCCCCAAGTTACCCAGGGTCACTTTCTGAGGAGAGCATAGGACTTAGCAAAGACAGGGTGAGAGGACTGCCATAGGAGTAGTAGTGCTTCTCCTCCTCTCAAGAATGTTCACAATAGGGCGCCTGGGTGGCTCAGATGGTTAAGCGTCTGCCTTCGGCTCAGGTCATGATCCCAGGGTCCTGGGATCGAGTCCCGCATCGGGCTCCCTGCTCGGCGGGAAGCCTGCTTCTCCCTCTCCCACTCCCCCTGCTTGTGTTCCTGCTCTCGCTATCTCTCTCTCTGTCAAATAAATAAATAAAATCTTTAAAAAAAAAAATGTTCACAATAAGGCAAAATTACCACCTTATGTTTATGAACAACAAGATTACAAAAATGAGTTCAGAAAACTTACTGCCTCTTTGATAATTTCAAATCTTTTTTCATCAATCTCAAAGGTAGCCATTTTCTCAATAATCTTCTTTAGCAAAATCGGCTGCTTGTCATTGTAACCTTTCACCGAGAGCTACAAAAAAGAGTTCAGGGTATTAGAAGTCCAAAAATATCACGAAAAAAACCTCCAAATAAACACCTTAAGCTTGATTTTTAAACACCTTAAGCTTGATTTTTAAACACCGAGAAAATCCCAAAGCCAGGTATATTAAAATAAAAGTGAAGAAGAAATTCAACTGATTTATCTTCTCATAAATATAATTTAGCTTAGGAAGAGAATATTAACCATCTTTATTTACTAATAACCCAAAAGCCTAATTTTGCTATTCCTAAACAAAGTCAACAACAGGAAAACTCACCTGATGCCAGATTACAGAACACACCACATCATCAAAATTCAAGCTCTCATTAAATCAAAATTAAGTACAGACTGTGTTTTAAGTTTTATCTCCAAAAATAACTTCTAAGGAATGGTAGGCTTAAGGTTTTTATAGATGTGGTAAGAAGGTAAAAATTACCAGTAGTATCATCTAGCCAACTGTTAGGTAGGTCTCAAAATTGTTTCTATTTAAATATTTTTTTAAATTCCTCTTTGGCGATGTCAGGCAGCTCCAATTTCGTGTGTGGGTGTGTATATTTTTGTGGCATTTTGCCATTTTTGTCATTCAATGTTGCCCAAAAAGGATCCACACATCTCACCATTGCTTGTTTAATGAGTTCTCCCGATGTATCAAAAGCCAACGGCAAAACAGATGTACTGTGAGGACACACTGTCTGTACTATCAGGATTTTTGTCTTGGGACAATTTAATAGTCTCCAAAACTGAACACTGGGGAAAGCAGGGAATGCCTATTATTATATTTCCACACAGTGGCACCCACAGCAATAGAGGACACACCGCAACTAGAATACCCAAGAAAGCCTCTACCTTATACAAAATGATAGGTAAGAACCTCAGGAGTGAAGGTCATTACTGGCCATGGACAGCACATCATGTACCATGGGAACTAGACTGACAACTAGCAGAAAGCTCATTCTGTCATAAATTAAAAACTACCTATTTTAACGGTAATATGCTACTAAAACTCAATAGCAAAAAATAAACAACAGATTATTACTTTTCTATTTGGAGTTTATTTTGATCTCTGAGCTTCAATTTCCCTAGATGCTGAAAATGGTTAGTTATGTACACACTTACACATTAAATGAAAACTACTGGAAATTTTACTTGTGGGGGGAAAAAAAAGGTACTGCAAAATAAAATTTTAAAACCCTAAAACCTTTTGCATAAGAATTCATAAAGAGGAGTACAGAGTACACAGCACATGCTCTCATTTTAGTTGTTACTAAAATGTACAATATTTTTTCAAGAAAAGTGAAGATGAATGTGTGCCATAGAAGGGATGTTAATTTGGAAATGAGATAAAAGCTTGGAAACACAACAGAAATAGTTTTAGGAGAAAAAAAATCTAGTTATTTCTTTGGATGTTTTTAATAATGCTTATTTTAAAACACACTTAAAAGTAGTTAATGGTGCATGCTACAAAATAAATTAAATGAAAACATCAAATGTATTTGAACACAGGAGCTTTCTACTGCTGTCAGCAAAAATAAAGGAAGCTTATAGAGGAGTGAAATTCAAGCACCACAACAATAACTACAGTTACTTTTCACTTACAGATGTTAATACAGTCAAGTACATGGAAAGAACATGCTTTCAGAATTAGTGTGTTTCACATTTCAAGCAGAGGAACATGCAAATAAATGTAGCACACATACATGTTCACAAATTGCACGAAACTCTACTGAATCATTCATTAGTGGAACTACTAATTTGAGTTCTTCAATCATCAAAAAGGTGCAAGGAAAAAACCATCAACCTTCTTGTTTAAAAAATGCAGAAGTTAATAGTTTTCCCAAGCTCAACATAATGCTTAAACGGTGGCACCTTTTCTTTGGTTTTCATTTTACTTACAAGTATTGCATTCATTCCTGATGCAATGCCATAGCTCAAACCTGAGAGGCGTGCTGCATATGTATACTCTTTTAAATCATCCTTCAATAACCTGATAAACAGGTATGTCATGTTGCAATGGAGAGGATCAGCATAAATGTAGCGACTAACAAAAAGAAAAACAAAAGAAATGCTTTGATACCTCAAGCAGTGGCATGGTAATGAAGAAACATGACCGAAGAGTATGGATATGCAGCCTCATGATCTGAATGTCTAGGGAAACAGAATCAGCCAACCTTGTTTTACAATGCCAGGAAGACATCATTCTGTTGTCAAAGACCAAGATTTCACATAGAGAATGGGTGAGATTTAAACCTCAATCAGGGTCCCATTTTGTTTGAGGAGGAAAATATGACAATCTGATGAAAGATGTTTAAAAAAAAATAAAAACAGAAATCAAGGAAAATTTGCATAATGTGAATGTAATCACTGAATACTTAGAATAAGAGCTAACTGAAAAATTAAATGAGAAAATATGATTAGCCATATTTTTTTTAAAAGAAATTAAACTCATACCCTCAATCAAAAACGCTTCCATCAAATCAATATAAAAAAATGTTGATGAGTGGAAGGCTCTAAGACGTGGGTACTTACATACATCCCATAGATGGTATTTTGGAGGTCATAGCTCAAGCCTGCTAGCTCTGCTGCATATGCATACTCGTTGAGTGAGTCTTTGAGGAGCTCAAGGTACAAATAGGCCATGTTACAGTGCAAGGGGTCCACATAAGCAAATGGGCTGGAAGAAAATGTTGACAGTAAAATAGCTGATTTATTACTTTCCAATGTGATATGGCCTTTTGAGATGGATCAAGAAACTGAACATCGGTTATTATCATTTCCTGAAGATATGGTTTGAATTCTTGAGTCTGTTCTTCTCGGGAGGCAAAAAACCACAAGATGTCTGAAAAAGAAGCCCAAAGTATGCCATGTGTGCTGGTGGTGGCGAGGAGGGAGAAACAACTGTTTGCCCCAGATGGTGTGTGGCCAAACTGACAAGTTAGAAATGCAGGGCTGGGGCGCCTGGGTGGCTCAGTCAGTTAAGCGTCTGCCTTTGGCTCAGGTCATGATCCCAGGGTCCTGGGATCGAGTCCCGTGTCGGGCTCCCCGCTGAGCAGGGAGTCTGCTTCTCCCTCTGCCTCTGCCTACTTGTGCTCTCTTTGTCAAATAAATAAAATCTTTAAAAAAAAAAAAATGCAGGGCAGGTAAGGAGTGGGAACAGGCTAAAAGGCATGCCTGCGTTGAGGCTAAAAGGAGGAGGCATGGCTGGGCACCTGGCGGGCTCAGTTAGAAGAGTACGAGACTCCTGATGTTGGGGTCGTGAGCTCTAGTCCCACACTGGGTGCAGAGATTATTTAAAATTAAAAAATAAATTAAAAAAAAAAAGGAGGCATGACCGACAGAGCTCATCCGACATTAGCATGTCTTCCTCCCTCTAAGCAAGCCATACCCTGGGTGGACCTGAGTATGAGACTGAGAAGTTTGTGTGCTGTGATTTTTGAACTTAAACAAGAAAACGGAGACCTGTGAAATGTTAACTCATCTCTGAGTTTCCCCCCAAACCAATAAAGCTATAGCACTGTCAGTAAAATAATTGATAATTCCCACCTTATAACTGCAGAGAGAGCTACGAAAAAATATTAAAATAAAAAAAAAATACTTAAGGGACGCCTGGGTGGCTCAGTTAAGCGTCTGCCTTTGGCTCGGGTCATGATCCCGGGGTCCTGGGATCAAGTCCCGCATCAGGCTCCCTGCTCAGTGGGAAGCCTGCTTCTCCCTCTGCCTGCCGCTCCCCCTGCTTGTGCTCTCTCTCTCTGACCAATAAATCAATAAAATCTTAAAAAAAAAAAAAAAAAAAAAACTTAAAGTGAAAAAGAGCAACCAAAATGAGGAAACAATCAGAGAGTACAAAAACTAAATAGGACCACAGAGATCACCTAACTTAATCATCTCTTGAATAAGAAACACAGCTTTCTGCATGTAACCTGGGCGGGTAATGGCAGAATTCGGATTCAAATGCAAGTCAAATGACCTACTCATTGGATTATATGACCTCACTTACCTTTATGACAAACAAGTAAGAGTCATTCACTCAACAAATGTGTATCACACGCTTACTACTATAATACACGGAAGCAGGTATGGTTCAGAAGAGCCTAGTGCTAGGCCCTTCTCTAGGTACTGGGAATAAAATCAGGCAAAGTCACTGACCTGACAGAGTTTAATAGTCTAGTTAGAGGAGAGAATAAATTTTAATATATCAAGTGGGGATAGTGCTATGAAAAAAATTAAGCAGGGTAAGAGGAACAGGAGTGAAGGTGGTGGTAGTAAGAGAAGACTGCTAATTTACATAAGATAGATAATCAATGCCTCTCTCATAAGGTGACATCTGGGCCTAGACCTGAAGGAAGCAAAGGAGCAAGCTCTGGGGTATCTGGGTGGGACCGGTTGAGGAAACAGCCAGTGCAAAGGACCCAAGGCCAGGTGCCTGCTTGGCTTGTTTGGCAGCAAATTAAACTTTCACTATATCTGTAGCACAGTAAATATAACTACTGTACTGACAGCAAAGGCAACAATTTTATCAAAGCTGATAATGAAACAAAAATAGAGGAGGCTTAGCCGCTAAGAGAATTAAAATCAAAGAGAAAATTCTCTAACTACATAAACATTCTCTATCCGGAAAATCTAAATGGACTGGGGCGCCTGGGTGGCTCAGTCGTTAAGCGTCTGCCGTCAGCTCAGGTCGTGATCCCGGGGTCCTGGGATCGAGCCCC